GGAGCGCCAGTGCCCGTGGACTGCTCGGACGAGGCGGGCAACACGGCGTTGCAGTTCGCCGCGGCCGGCGGCTACGAGCCGCTGGTGCGCTTCTTGCTGCGCCGCGGCGCCTCGGTCAACAGCCGCAACCACTACGGCTGGAGCGCGCTCATGCAGGCAGCCAGGTGAGGGGCCCGGGATCCCCAGGGGTGGTGTCCGGCCGCCCGGCCCCGGGGCCGGGCGGGCTCAGGTGGCCGGCCCAGCCTGGCGCCCCTGCAGACGGCCCGGGAGGTAAAGAGTCAAGGACTCGTGCCAGAGAGCTGAATGGTAAACTTTGGGCAGCTTGGGATACTACAAGAAGTGGGAGCGCTTTTTTAGAATCTTAGAAACATTGGGCCTTTCGAAACAATCTGAAGACCGCGTTGAATAGAATCTTAGAGACACATCATCTTAGAAGTGTTCATTCATTCCTTCTTGCAACAGGAGTTTCCTAAGAACCTACCCACCCTAGCCTGGGTGACGGGGACACTGGGAGCCAGGCACAGCCCCACCAGGCGCAGCTCACAGGCCAGTGGGCAGGCCAGACAAGAGATCAGGCTTGATGGGGAAAGGGTAGGGAGCTCTGGGGATGGTAGACCCAGTTTGGGGAAGTGGAGGAAGGTTTTTGGTAAGAATGATGTATGTATTCAGGTGGAGACTCCATAAGAATTAACCGGGACAGAAGAAGTGGGAGGTGGGAACGGGGTGATAGGAGGCCCACGCAAAGGTTTGAAAGCAAAAACGAACATAAGGCATTGGTAGGACTGCTAGAAAAATGTCAGTGCTAAGAGAGGGCTGGAAGTAGTGGGAGAGGAGCCTCCCCTGGAGAGGAGGCAGATGCTGCGTGGCAGGGCTGAGGAAGATGAGCTCTCCTAAGGGCACTGGGGAGTAATAGAAGGTTCTAGGCAGAGTGAGTGACAGAATCAGATTTATGTTTTGGAAACATCACTTTCCCTGCAGTGTGAATACAGATTGGAGGGATGGGCCAGCGTCCGAAAGCTTTGTTCACAGGGGATTGCAGCAGTCTAGGGAGAGGTGATGGTAGCCTGGACCAGAGCAGAGACAGCAGTGGAGAGCAATGAGATGTTTGAGATATACTCAGGAAGCAGAATGAACAGGACTTGAAGCGCTGGTGGGAAGGAACTCTGGTATGCAGTAAAGTCACTCACCCCTGTTGGCCATCGTCTTAGGTCCCACCCACCCCTCAGTTTGGTCTCTGGTGGGTGTTTTAGTATCAGAAATGGTTACACTCATCTTTTATCCGATTCTGAAAATAAGCTTTTTCGAGCACTTTTTGTGTCAAGCACGGTGTTCAGTGCTTTAAGTAACTCTTTCAATCCACAGAAACCTTAGGCTATGTAGGTACTGTTGTCACCCCCATTTTATAGATGAGGAATTGAGGCTCAGAGAGTTAACTTGCCCAAGGCCACACAGCTAGTAAGTGGCACATTCACACCTAGGCGGGTGGCTCCAGAGCCTGTGCTCCCAGCCTCTGCTCTCTGCCACGAATCCCGTAACCGACTGTTTCCTCTTGGTGTTGGCCACAGGGACGCTCCTCACCAAACTGGCCAAATGCTAAAGGGACAGGTTGTGTGCGTGGTGTTTACTTTGGCCCTAACTTCACCCTTGGCCTCTTTACTTCCCTTCTCCTGCCCTTCATTTCTTTGCCTGCCAGTGTGGCCTCTCTGCCCAATGCTTTGGGTGGTAGGTTTGTGCCAGGTCTTTAAACACAGGTGTTAATTGCCGAAATTAATTGGTAATCACAGCAGCTGTTCAGAAAGCCCCACACTTCCCTGTCCTCAGTAATTACCTATTAGAAACTTAGCATCCGCAAAATTATCTCAGCCTTCCTTGAATTCTTTTATGTTTTCAGCCTAATTGAATGACCTCTTGGGCTACCCATGGGTTCAGAAAGTATTCCAAATGTCAGCATTTCTGCTCAGATTCTCTCCTTTTCTTTCTGTCTCATAATGTTTTATACCAGAAGAGCTGGGGTTTGGGATTTTAGGATCTAGGTTCAAGTTTTGACTCTCACTTTCAAAAGGAGAGGCTCTGCTTTCCATTAAAATCTTCAGTTTCCTCATCTGTGAAATGGGCATTATCCGTTTATTTCAGGGGTTATTAAGATCAAATGAGATAAAAATGTGACAATACCTTTTAATCTGCTGTGAGGAATTATACTAGGTTTTGTTTTATGCTTGATAACTAAATAAGTGTGGTTTTTAAAAATTTTCTGCTTCCATGGAGGATACATGAGTTCTTTAGTCCTTTCCATGGCCCGTCTCCGGACCGTCCTTTACTTGGTTATGGCAGTCATTCATTTGACTGACACTGAGCCCCACTCTCAGTCAGCCACCAGTCCTGTCCTCGGAGAGCACACAGTCTAACAAGCAGACATAATGGTAGAAGGAAGGCTCAGGCGCATCCTAGAGGCGAGGACCGGGGATTGCCTGCCCAGATGAAGGGCACCTGAACTCATGAGGGGGGCGGTTCTGGAAGCTGCTCAGAGGAGGTGAGCTCTGAGCTGAATCCTGAAGCAGGATGAAGGGTATACTTAGGAGAGGCGGACAGGAGGGCACTCTGGGCGGAGAGGCAGGATGGCAAAGGCAAAGTTGTGGGAAGAGTAGGATTGGTGGGCACAGGCCAGCATGGAGCCGATGACGTGGGGGTTGGGCGGAAATGAAGTTGGCCCAGCCAGGGTGGACAGGCCTCTTCAGGCAGTGGGAAGCTGGGCAGTGGCCATCAGCTTTGGGGAATGTCATTTTAGGTTGAGGCAACCCCACCATGGAGGATGGGCAGGAAGGAACAAGACTGGAGGCAGGGGGACAGGCTGGGGTTGCAGCTTTCTGCATTTGAGTTTCTGTCCTTTTGATTTGCTCCCTCTCTGCTCTTGGAGAAGAGGAGGGACAGGCCCGGTCCCCCTACAGCTGGAGGAGCCCGTTCTCCAAGCTCTCCCTCCAGAGGCTGAGGTGACCTGGTGCCGTTAAGGTTCACGTCTCTGAAGGTATTTGTAAGTTCAGATCAGAGTTTGGCCTTGGCTCTGCCTCCACAGGGAGAAGGGAGGCCCTAGGTTTATAGGAGGTACAAAACTCACTTCCGGAAAGGGGGGGGAATGCAACAAGAGATTCAGAACGCTGCCTCGCAGATGCGGACGTTATGCAGGCATTATGGTCCCTCTCTGGTCATTCTTCCCCGGTTAGTCCAAGGCTCCTTCCAGCCCTGATACTTCGCTGCTCCGAGCCCTGCGCCAACCAAAACCTGCAAAACAGATCTTTTCTGCCCTCTAACGGCAAAAGAAGGCAGAGGTTTTGCTGGGAAGAGGCATCTGTTTTCCTGGTAGCGGAGTTGGTTGGTGGTCGCCTCTCGGGCGGGCTCAAGCTTCCTGGAGGAGGGCTTCGCCCAGGCCCATTTCCTAGCCCCTGGCAGCGGACATTCCTGCCAGCAGGTGGCAGCAGGCCTCTGGTGAGAGGTGCCTGAGCCCATCTGGGCTGACCACAGCCGGGCTACACCTCTTGGCATGGGGTGCACTGGCTCATCTTGAAGGATCTTCTGTGTGTGTTTGGGGATGGGTAGACATGAGTCAGACATGAGCCCTGCCCATGGGAGTCAGCACAGGCAGAAAAGTAGATTACAAGGCTACAAAGCTGAATAAAATGAACTCTGAGATGTGGGAAGCAGCATGGTATAGGGGAAAGAGTGAGGGTATCAGGATTCAGACAGACCTGGTTGTTCACCTTTGTGATGGTAGACATGTGTGGCCAGCACAGTGCCTGGCGCCAGAAGAAGACCTTTTACTATAAGTAGCTATTATGACTTTAATAATTAATGACAAATGAGGATTACATAAGCTGTCTCCATGTCGGTGCTCCATGTTAGTGTCACTAATTCTCCATCTTCCTGGCAGATTTGGGCACGTGAGCGTGGCACACCTACTTTTGGATCATGGGGCTGATGTCAACGCCCAGAACCGGCTAGGGGCCAGTGTGCTCACTGTAGCCTCTCGGGGTGGCCACCTGGGTGTGGTGAAGCTGCTCTTGGAAGCTGGTGCCTTTGTAGACCATCACAACCCCTCAGGCGAGCAGCCGGGGGCAGGGGACAGCAGGGACGAACTATTGGACATCACAGCCCTAATGGCTGCCATCCAGCACGGGCATGAGGCCGTGGTGCGTCTGCTGATGGAGTGGGGTGCAGACCCCAACCGCGTGGCCCGAACTGTGGGCTGGAGCCCACTGATGCTGTCGGCGCTCATCGGGAGGCTTGGCATGGCCCAGCAGCTGGTAGAGAAGGGGGCCAACCCTGACCACCTCAGCGTGCTGGAGAAGACCGCCTTCGAGGTTGCACTTGACCGCAAGCACAGGGACCTTGCAGACTACCTGGACCCGCTGACCACGGTCAGGCCCAAGACAGGTCAGGCTGTGCCACCACCAACCCTTCCCTTCCCTGCCCTGGCTTCACAAAGGACCCTAAACTGTGTTTAAATGACAGAAGCTGAGGGTCGCCCAACCAGAGGGCATGCACATATCAGAGTCTGGCCTACCGAACAGTGGGTCTTAAGATGTGCTGTGCATAAGAATCAGTTGGGAGTGCCTATTACTTGCAGGTTCCTGGGCCACCCTCTAGGGTGATTTGGTATCTGTGGGAAGAGCCTGGAACCCCCATAGCAAGACCTCTCCTTTCCAACCGGATGATTCTGGTGCAGGACATCCTGGGATCTTTCTAGAACAGAAGTCAGCAGACTTTTTATGGAAAGGACCAGAGAGTAAATATTTTAGACTTTGTGGGCCAGCCTCTGTCAGAACCACTCAATTCCGCTAGAGTGAAAGCAGCCATACGTTATATGTCAGTGAGTGGGTATGGCGGTGTTCCAATAAAATTACCAAAACCGGTTGGGGAGCACATTTGGCCCAGGACTGTAGTTTGCCAACCCCTGCTCTAGAACAGTGTGCCCTCTGCCTGTGAAGACCTTGGCCTCTATAGGGGAGACAGGCAAGAAACAGGAAATGAACATTAAATCCGTAGTACGATAGGTAGGCAGTGCCTTGGTTGGGGGGGGGGGCAAGGTTGAGGTTTGGGAGTGGTGATTGGGGCGCTGCAGGCTGTCCCTGGTGGGTGGCCTCCTGGAGCAGGTGAGACTGCAGCTGACGTGCAGGAGCTGAGAGAGTGCTCCAAACAGGCTCTCAGGGAAGAGCCTCCAGGTAGGACAGCAGCAAGGGCAAAGGCTGCGTTATTAATGATAGATTATGAAATAAATAACCATTAGCCCCTAGCTATTTTTGTGAGATGCCAAGAAATCCGCCTGGAAGACCCCCAGTTCCCTCCCTCACATTAGCTACAGGACAGGGTACCCCCCCCCCACCCCCACCGTGGTTGTTCCTTGGGCTGGGCAGGGTCCCCAGAACTGCTCTGCTGCAGATGCCAACACTGGCATCTGGAAGGAGGAAGGGACCAGCCAGGGTCACTTGGCATCGGTGGCACAGCTGCCCCAGCCTTCTGGGGTCAGGCTAGAGGGTCAGTGATTCTTTTGTGTCAGATGGTTGTTTAGCAACCAACACGCAGGCCAGATGACACACTTTTCCCTCAAAGGGTCTTGGCATGAGAAGGCTCCGTCTGCAGCAAATTAGACTCTTACACACTTAAAGGAAAGTGACATATTTAAAACTAAGATGCAGAATCCTTCCTTAATAGTATTGCACAAGCAGAATTAGACACTTGGTTCCATGGCCCTGTCTGTATGTCTCTATAAGAACCCTGGAGTTAAGGAATACCCTTTCTGGGGTGGGTGCCAGTCACTAGTCAAGAGAACAAAAATTGCTGTTTGGATTTCTGGAGCATTTCTCATCTGTATTCTTGATCTCTGCAACCACCATGTGGTCCCCATATTAGCGTGTTATCCCCCTGTTGTTGATGAAGAGACTGATCATTCTGGAAACATGCACTCAAACTCTGATATGCTCACTCCAGACTTGGTGATCCCTGCACTGGGCTGCAGCTTCTTCTCGGCTGCCTGAGGGGGCTGACCTGGACCAGAGATTTAGCCCAGAGTCACAGGTTTCCCTCACAGCCACTCCATCTCTGGAGTTAGCCGAAGACTGCAGGGAGTCCTACATTCGGCCGCCTGCGAGGGGGCTGGTGCTGAGGATAGTCTGCTTTCTGACAGTACCACAGGTACCTGCTAGTCCAAGCTTGGAGGCAGGTGACCGATGAGCAGATGAGGGAGGGGCGAGCATGGGGTGGGTACAGCCAGGCCCCGGTTTGGGGGTAGGCGTGGGCCCCCGTACCAGCTGCGCTGCAGAGACCAGCATGAAAACATCAGGTGGGCAGTGGTCTGCAGGGTCCACGTCTGCAAGGCTGGGGCAGGGGTGACTTTCAGAGTCGTTCAGATTGCTTCTTATTTGAGGAGAACAAAAATGAACATTGGCTCTTCTGGTGGCCACGTCCATGACCTCCGCCTGGGCTCAGCTGCTCAGTGTCTCTGCAGCCTTCTGCTTTGGAATTATCTCAGGGTTGTGCATTTAGTTTTTAGTAGAAAAGAATCGCTTTTTAAACAATTTTTTTCATAAGAATACAGATTTTTCCAAGACTATACTTTTTTTTATTTAATTTAATTTTATTTATTTGAGAGAGAGAGAATGAGAGACAGAGAGCATGAGAGGGAGGAGGGCCAGAGGGAGAAGCAGATTCCCTGCCGAGCAGGGAGCCCGATGCGGGACTCGATCTCGGGACTCCAGGATCATGACCTGAGCCGAAGGCAGTTGCTTAACCAACTGAGCCACCCAGGCACCCTATACTTTTCCATTACATTTAAGAGAGGACATCCCAGAGTTTGGAATGCCCCCAAATGATTGCTTTATGGGTGTGGGATCAGGAAATGTTCTGCTTATTCATGTTTTGCTGGCCAGATGACTGCCCAAGATCTATCTCTGGAGCATTTGTGGACACTCTGAGAATAACTCTTCCAGAAGGGCTACCGGGTTCGTCTGTTACATGGGTCTCTGATCAGATTGCTTTTGGAAGGTAGATCACTTTTAAAGCTAGGCTGTATTGTTACATGCATGTGACTTTTCTGTTCTATTAAGTCTTTTGTGGTTAACTTTTAAAATCTTTGTTTACCTAGATGAGGAGAAAAGGCGGCCTGATATTTTCCATGCATTGAAAATGGGTAAGCGCTTTAGAAAATCTTTTTGGAGATTTATGAATATAGGGACACATTCTCTCAACCTAGTATTTGTAGTCCTTTTCAAGGCCACCCAGGGTGTTTGAGAAAGAAACAGGCATTTTGTTATTTCCTGACTCGGTGGTTTCACACAGGGAGGTTCAGCCCCTGGAGACTGGTAGTTATTATGGTGCTTTATACACAAGTTCCAGACTGCTCTCCCAGCGCCCCCCCCAGCCAAACCCTGTGGCTATGTTCTGGCTTTTCCCTACCTCTGAAATGCCTCACTGCCTACCTGCCCGCTCCACTCTCTTTGTGATGAAGCTGAAAATCTCTCCTGATGTAGACCCCACCTCCAGGAAGCCCTCCCTGATCCTCACCTCCCAGGGAGATCTGAGCGCTCTGCGTGTACATTGCCCTTCATGTTTCCTTCATCTGTTCTCTTAGGATATCAATAACACTTTTTTCTTTTAGAAAAACCATTTGTGTGCTTGCCTCCGACCCTTACAGATGGAGAGATCTGAGGGTGGGGGCTCCCTCTTCCTCACCTTTGTAGCCCCTCTAATGCCCAGCAGCCCAGTGCAGAGGCAGGCTGAGAACCAGTTTGTTACCGAAACCTGCTGGATAAGTCATCCGGCTGCGCCGGGCCCCCAGATCACCAGATCTCCTGCTTCTGTTTGCAGGAAACTTCCAGCTGGTCAAAGAGATTGCGGACGAAGACCCCAACTACGTGAACCTGGTCAACGGGGATGGGGCCACTCCGCTGATGCTGGCAGCTGTCATGGGGCAGCTGCCGCTGGTGCAGCTGCTGCTAGAGAGGCACGCTGACGTCGACAAGCAGGACAGCGTGCACGGCTGGACGGCCCTCATGCAGGCCACCTACCATGGGTCAGTGCCGGCCCCACTCCCTCCGTGGGAGGCTGACGACTCCCTGAGCCGAGAGAGGGGTCTTGATGGGCTTTTCTGATCCTGAGAAACTCCAGATGAACTCGAGGGCTGTGAAGCCTTTGAGGCGCACACACAAAAAACCCAGAGCAGCGCAGGCTCATCTACCCTACATTCCTATTCTTCTGTGTCCTGATGCTCGTGACCTCATCACAGAACTAACTAGTGGCCATAAAAACCGTGCAGCAGGAAAGTTTTATGCAGACAGATAAGCTTCTCTAGGTTGATTTCAGTGGAACAGTGATCAGTTTGTTTGGAGTGTTCACACTGATGTCCATGTCCTGTTGGAAATGAACATCGGCTGTTCATACCATTGGCTTCTCGGCACCCGGCAGTGAGACTTGTCCTCACCCTCTCCTTCTGAATAGGCGCCACCATTGGCTGGTGCTTCTGAATCCCTTCTCCTCCTGTCCTCCTGGAGGCCACCTCTTCCAGGTAGGCTGGCCCAGAGGCCAGGAGCTGCAGACCGTCTTACAGCGGCCAGGTGGTCTGATTCCAAATTACCAGCCCTTTCCTTGCCCTGTTTCAAGTGATCACAGCACTTAACTGTGTCATCTCAAAGCAGTTTGTTTTCCTATTTGGTCAGCCTCGGGCTTCCGTGTCAGACATCTCGGCCTGTGTGGGGCTTCCACAGTGCATGGGTCCTGATTTGGGGCAGGAGTAGTTGGAATCTGCATGTGGCATGGTGACCACATGGTCTTCCTTTTGTTTGTGGAAGGAACACCTAGGCTTTGGTTTCTATCACATTTGGGTCTGACCTGCCCATGGGGTGGGGAAGGAGGAGTGTGAGGCCGTTTGCAGCTTTCCACGCCCTTCTTCCGGGCTCAGAGATGGGGCACTATAGTTAATATCAGCTTCCCAGGAGCAAAGCCAGGCTTTGGCTTTCAGTGCGTCTAACTCTGGCTTTTTCTTTCCTCCCCAGGAATAAGGACATTGTCAAATATCTGCTAAACCAAGGGGCTGATGTCACTCTTCGTGCAAAAAACGGGTACACGGCCTTTGACCTAGTGATGCTGCTGAGTGATCCTGGTGGGTTGTTCCCTGAAAAGGGTCATAAACCTGCACGGCCTTTCTCTGGCTAGGAATGGAGAGAATCACCTTTGTTTTCAGCCCTTGCTTACTCATGGGGGAAGTCACTCTCAAGCCCCAAGGGCTCACCACATGTCCTCAGGCAAGTCGCTTCCCTTCTCAGCAAAGGCTGGGCTGGCACCAGATGATCCCCTGGGTTTCTCCAGCTCCAGCCTTCAGGGAGTCTCCCAAGAGGGAAGGCCAGCGAGACACGCATCTGCCTCAGCAGTCCACAGAAGTCCCAGAATGGTAACTGGGCTTCGTAGCCAGAAACCCTGACTCGGGGAAACAAAAAGTCCCCTTTGACAAGCAGAGTCAGAGACGGAGCAGTGGCCTTCTCTGCTGAATTGCGTAGGTGGAGGCCGCTGGGTCAAGGGCACCCTTCTGGGGCTGTCGCCGTCCCTAGTCCCACCTTTCTTGGTCCCCTTGGGCCCTCCCCCACTATGACAGGCCCTCCTCTGGGACCTGAGGCATACAGTCAGTCAGCTCAGGGGTCAGAGTCTGTCTGTCTGTCTGTCCTGCTTCCTATTGCCTTGGAGTTTCGGCCCAGGGAGGGAGAGAGGCTGTGAGGCCCTCTGACCCGCAGACTTTGAGCCCTGAGCCAGATCCCAACCTGCTGGCCTTGGGAGAGGACTTTACCTCCGTAGTCCCAAGTGGAGTTACCCCTGCTGCTTCTCTGGGCTACGGGGTGGCAGGCCAGAGTGCCCTGCCTCATCGCCGGCATTGCTGCCCTCACCCCGGCCCCCCTGCCGCGGGCCCCACGTGTCTCAGGTGCATACCTGGTTCCACTTCATCCTCGCAGGATGTGTGAGGGGAAGCCGAGCTGCATATCCCCTTGTGGAGGGGAGGTGACCAGGGCCAGGGGAAATGACTTGACCCAGCTGGCGAGGTGGGGTCCTTTGCCCAAGTCCAGTGAGCTCACTCCGTGCGAAGAGTTCGTGTCGTTAGAATCCACCCCCTGCATCATGCACGCATTTCTCGAGCAAACTTGTGTCTCACGGTGTCTCTTCTCCCTTGCCGCTGACCACTTCCCCACTCCCTTGTGCATTAAGACCCCCAGTCTCTCCCTAGTCGATTTTTTTCCTGGTGGGTTTGTTTTTAAACGAACTTTTTGCCTGAAATTTTTGAAGACACACATGCTTATTACTGAACACTTGGAGAGAGAAAAAGAAACAGTCATCCAGAGGAAAACACTGTTAATAGTTTGTAGTATTCTCAATTTCGTTTATTTATTTATTTATTTTGGTAACCCAGGTAATAATAATAATACTTAACTTTTCTTTTCTTTTCTTTCTCTCTCTCTCTCTGTCTCTCTCATTCTCTCTGTCTCAAATAAATAAATAAAATCTTAAAAAAAAAGAAAAAAGAAAAAGAAATCACCCAAACGGAAGCACAAAGAAAAAAAGAAGTTAAAAAATAAGAACAACAAGAACAACAAAAAAACAGTTGTGGGATAATGTCAAGTGCTCTCACATACAAGTAATAAGAATCCCTGAAGACAAAGAGAGAAAGAGAATGGTAGGACGGAAAGAATATCTTAAAATAATGCCTGAAAAATTCCCCAGATTAATGATAAATGACAAATCACAGATCCAGGAAGTTCAGAAAACACTATAGGATAAATATCAAAAAGAAAACACGTAGCTGTATCCTAGCTACACTACTGAATAAATAACTCCCATAACTCAACAATAAGAGGGGTGCCTGGGTGGCTCAGTTGGTTGTTTCTGACTCTTGTTCTCAACTCAGGTCTTGATCTCAGGGTCATGAGTTCAAGCCCACATTGGGCTCTACACTAGGGCATGGAACCTATTTAAAAAAAATTGTTTTTAACTCAATAAAATAACCAACAAATTATAAAAAATAGGCAAAATGGATACTTCACCAAAAATATACAAATGGCAAATAAACATATGGAAAAATGTTGAACATTAGCTATTGGGGAAAATGCAAATTAAAACCACAGCAGCATAGCACTATATACCTAATAGACTGGCTAAAATTAAAACCAAGAATTTAAAGATACAAGTGTTGGTGAGGATATGGAGCTACTGGAACTCAGATGCCAGTGGGAATGCGAAACTACAGCCACCTTGAAAACGTTTGGCAGTTTCTTATAAAACTAAATATGCACTTACCATACGAACTGGCTGTCTCCCTCCTAGATATTTACCCAAGTGTATTTTCAAAAACTGTTCATGCCAAAATCTGTTTGTGAATGTTTATAGCAGTTTTCTCCATAATCACGCCAAACTGGAGACATGTCTTCAACAGGCCAATGGATAGATCAGCTGTGGTACATCCATGTGATGGAACGCTGCTCAGCAGTGGAAAGTACCACACTGTTGACATGTGCAGTAACTTGAATGGATCTTCAAGGCAGTTTGCTGCACCAGCCCCAAAAGTCTACATATTGTATAATTCCATTTATGCGACGTTTTAGAAAAGACAAAACCTTAAGGATGGAAAACAGATCCTTTATTTCTGTGGGTCGGGATGAGGGGGAGAGTGACTAGAAAAGGACCGGACAAGGGAATTTTGGAGGTGATGGAACTGTTCTTGTATGGTACACAACTCTGCGTTTATCAAAACCCAGAGAATTTTACACAACCAAGTTATTTCTGCTGTATGCAGATTTTAAAAAACAGTATGAACCAGGAACCAAAGATGGAATGCAGACCATGACAACAGATCTGTATTACAAATGACTGATTTAAGCACACGTTGGGAGGTGGGGGTGGGGGGAAACTGTGTCGAGTGGATATGGTAAGGCCAAATATAGACAAATAACCGTACCCAAACACTGTACTCTAATTGATGATTTTTTTTCTTGTAGGGATATGGGTTAAATTCTGAAACCACTTTACACATAGATACTTTTTGTATACATATACACTTTGTTTATACTAGGGTTGACAAATAAGTAAATATAACGAGCCCCCTTTTTCACTGTCAGAGATTGAATCAAAGGGGAAATGCCTGAGCAAACCCCATGGATATTGGAGTGTTGTCAGAGGTGTAGGTATGAATCAATATGAATGCATGCCTATAAATATGTGTGTGTGTATATATATATATACAGATTGATACAGTAGTAAGTGTGGCTGTGTGTATACATGGCTCAGTATACTCTCTTTCCTTGCTCTGTCCACCCTATAAGCAGTGACATCCCAGTAACCACGAGCAACCTAGTACCCAGATTTTGGTTTCTAAATACCACTCTCCAAGAAAAGGGACCAGGGCCTTGGAGAAGTGGTTTATTCCAGTGGTGGGTCAATGAAAATACAAGATGAGCCTAGAGCATTTTATGGTTTCAGAAAGTAAGGAAAGGAGACGGCTTTAAAAAGAAAGAATTAAAAAAAGGTGGGCATGTCAAAAGGACATAGGAGCCCACCTGAAAAATCTCAGTGGCCAAAACTGGAACAATTTGAACAACCATAAAATAAATAGCAACAGTTATTAGATTATAGCCCAAAGAATAGCGTAAGTATCCATGAGCCCATACTGATAAGGAATAAATAACTGAATAAACAGGAAAAGGAGCAACTCTTCCTTACAGAATTCCAAATAATAAGTGAAAGGTAAGGGAAATAGCAGATCTTATATCATTAGAACATCACAGTAGTATTTGCTGTAGACAAGATCAACCGAAGAATGCTAAAATTACTGGGAGCAACAAGATATTTAGCTCAAAATCTACCCCCCCTCCCCCCAAATATTTGTTAATTATAAAGGGAAAAGGTAGTAACTTCACCATGGAGAAATCAGACAGACACTACCTTAATTAAGTGATGAAGGTCAATGTTATCAGTAATAAGAAATGGGTACTTTGAGATTCCTGGTATGATGCAGTAAGAGTGGCGCGTTACCTCTGGGGCCATTAACCCCCAAATCCATAAGCAAATCTAATTATGAGAAAATAAAAGGTTGACCCAAACTGAGGGACATTCTACAATCACCTCAACTCTTCGACAGTGTCAAGGTCATGAAAGACAAGGGAAGGTTGGAGGAGGTCAGAGGGACATGATAAGTCAATGCAACGTGGGATCCTGGACCAGAATCAGGACATCAGGTGCAACAACCAGTGAAATCGGAGTGAAGTCCATAGGTTAGCTAATAGTATTGCATGACTGTTAATTTCGTAGTTTTGATGATTGTGCTATAGTTATGTAAGCTGTTAACATCAGGGGAAGTTGTCTGATGGATACACAGGAATGCTCTGTTCTATCTTTGCAACTCTTCTGTAAGTCTAAAATTTAAAAAGAAGGCACTTTTTTTTTTTTTTTTTTAAGCAAAATGACACACAAGGGAAAAATGATGTGTTCTTTGGTGGAAGGTTGGCAATGACTGGTTTAGATCAAGGACCGTCAGGAGCAGAAAGGGACCTCGTGCATTTATAAGCCATACTTCCATTTAGAGCTGGGTTAGCTGAGAGGGAAAGGGACTTGGCCAAGGAGACAATGCTGGTAGCCGTACGGGCAGGACTAGCGCCCAGGTTCCTGGCTCCTCAAGGGCTACTTTTTCCATGCTACCCCCTGCCTCTCTGCTCCAGGGGACGATTTTCCTGTGAGTGTTCTGACAATACTGTTTCTGCTTTGCGTGTGTTTTAAAGTAGGTTTCATCGTCCTGGTTAGATAACCTTGCTGAGTCAGCACCCATGTTCCCTGTCGAGTGTGTTTTAATTGCTTCTACCCTCCAGGTGACAGCTTACGTATTTGCTTATTCTTTTTGGCAGAAACTGGAGACGAGCAAAAGGCCTCCGTCTGGGACTTCCACTACCTCCAAGAGCACCTCCCCTACGCTCACACCCTCCCCTTCACCCAAAGGGCACACGGCTGAGTCCTCGGTGTCCTCCTCTTCGTCCCACCGGCAGTCCAGGAGCAGTGGGGGCTCCAGCAGTGGCACCATCACAGATGAGGGTGAGTCCCCCAAAGTCCTGAAATACCACCCTTTCCTCTTTGCCTCTGTGACCTGGCAGGTGCTCTTAATTGCGATAGCTGTCCTAAGTCAGGTCTTTAAGACTTCCAGCAAAAATTCCTATCCCTTTTCTTCCCTGATTCCACCTTGAATTTGTATCTTTACCGTGCTAATGGTATGGCAAGCTCCCTCAGCTAGTTTTTCAGCATAGGTGAGTTTTGTGGACATACCCAAACATGGACTTATAGAGATGCTTCTCCAACACCAGTTATGGACCTTTCCCCAAACCTTGTACAAGTCGGAATTCTGTCATTTGCAAGTAATGCAGTGTCCACTCAACCTGGTTTAAGCAAAAGCAAACAACATAATTTGTTGGCTCATAAAGTGGAAGCATCTAGGGTGTGCTCCAGGCATGTGCAGATCCAGGTACCTTGGGAGTGTTTCTCCATATCTCAGGTAGGCTCTCTTTCAGTGGTGGCAAAGTTGTCCCCCAGGAACTTCAGGCTTACTTATTTTTCCTGCTAACTTGGCCACAGAAAGCAGAAACCATGCTACTTTCTTAGCAGGTCCAGCAAATCCTGGGGTAGACATCATTGGCCTCCCTTGGCTCTGTTTACAGTGACGGGCCATTTGACCGTGTGTCCGTGGCAGCGGAATGTGCCCATTGGCCAGGCACAGGTCCTGGGTCTGCCTTTGTAGCTGGGGTCAGGGTCTGAGCTACGGACCTGGAGAGGAGTGGCTCCTTGAAGGAAAATCGCAGTGCCGTTTCTAGAAGGAGGAGGGCGTGGGTGGTGGGCAAGCAGAGGCAATAGCTGTCGCCTGTAACCAGGAGAACTTTAGAACCTGGGCGCGTGAACTGCAAGTCCCTCCCGTGGGGATAATGCAGAAAGGACAAGGGAGTGGAGGCCCAGCTGCGAGGCCTCAGATGAAGACAGGAAGAGATAAAAGACAAAGGGCGATGAAGAATCCTGTCCTTTAAACTGCCGTCTGGTGGTCTGGGGATGGGGGGCGGAGCGGGGGCCGGGGGGCGGGGCGGGCAGGTGGCGGGAGAGGGAGCAGAGCTTTGGTAAGAGACGGGGCCCAGGCAGGTGCAAATCAAGTAGTGTGTCAGAGAGGGGAGAGAAATCTCAGGTGTGTGAGGGCCTCATGCTCATGCGAGGGCACCTGGCTGCAGGGAGGAAGGGGCTGAGCACACTCTGCCCAGCAGGTGATAAGCTGAAACCAGCTGCACCGGCTGTGGTCTGGACTGAGTTGATAAGTGCATGCTGCCATTGACATCCTCTGTATTCGGGGGCCACTTTTATTTTTTTGTGGTATCTAATGCCATCATTTATAACAGCTTCAGAGAGTCACTAGCAACCCCATCCTATGGGGATGTGAAAACATATCCCTGTGTTTTCTGTGTGGGTTTTAGTTCCCCACTCATGAATTCTCCTACTGTGGAAGCTTTTAGGAATCTAAACTCCTAGAGGTTCAGTTAGGTACTCATACCCCACCTTTCTCCAAAACAGAGTTGAGACCGTGGATATCTGTATGCACTGTCCATGCCCACTCTTTTCCCTCTCCCTCATCATTTAAAAAGGTTTGCAAAGCCTGAGTTGGGATAGAAACAAAAGAGGAACTGATAGCAATTTCTTTTTAGATTAATTTCTCTGGTGTAGAAAGCCTAGCTCTCCCTTCCAGAGTTCCTGTGTCCTGAGGCAGCATGAGATTGTCACAGGACAGAGCTGCAGTCCATCCCCCAAACGGCCACTTTTTATGACACTCGTGTGGGAAATGTGTGGCCCCAGTCGTGGACTACATGCAAGCCTTTGCCTGCCCCATCTTTCCACCTGCGGCGCTCTTGAGACCCCCTCCCTCACAGGGGTGAAGCCTGTGTACTGGGTGACCTAACCTGTGCTGGCTGTTAGGATACCTCACAGCCTGGCTGGGGCTTCGGGTGCAGGCAATGTAATAGCAGTAGGGATTGTGACACAGATGGGGGCAAATCTGAGTTAGCGGCAGAGCGTCGGGTGCCACGGCGGGCTTCACCGAAGAGCAGGCCTTCAGGCCAGAGGGCTGAGGAGAGGCGGGGCGGTGGCGGACCAGAGTCAGTTGTCGAATTGATAGGAAATGTACAAGCCAGTGATTAAACACAGCTATTAAAAGTCAAATTACAACCAAACAACAATACCTGTGTGCGTATATAACATAATACCTACATATGTTATGAAAATATATGTATATATTATGTAAAAATATAATATGTAAAATATATATATGTAAAAACATAAAGTATATATAAAATATATATGAAAAAATATAAATATGTAAATCTATGTAAAAGTGAATCTATATAAGTGTGTGTGTGTGTATATATATATATATAAAAGAAGCCAAAGAAAAGAAAAAGTCAAATTATGTGAATTTATATAATTATACTAATTATATTAAATTAAAGGTATGTGGTATTTAAAACAAAATATATTATTAACTTTTTAGTACAGAACGTCTGTGCTCTTTATGCAATAGAAATACTATATAATGATATGCTACTACGCACATCCCTTCCCAGTTCCACTTTCAGGAACGTTGGTTATAGTTGGTAGCTTGAAATTAGCCGGGAGGGGGCATTGACTCCATGATGTCAGCAAATGCCACCAGTCAGGGTTTGGTTTGTTGTCTCCTAGAGCATCTAGATGTCATCTAGACAATGTTGGAGAAAGTGTTCATTTTGCAGGAGAAAGTTAGAAGTGTGACTAGCACAAATAATTGAGAAAATAGTCTTTCAGGATTTTCAAATCATTATCTCACTCTGCCCAGTTGCTCATGTGAAGTTCCTATATGTGTCCTCATTGTTCTATTTCATCTTACCTGTTCCCGTAGACGAAACTATCCAGCGGCAGCCATATTGGAACTGTAGTCCTTGGCTATGGATTAAGAGGAGGGCGAAAATCAGTGAAAGCATTCAGTGAGGTGCCTGAGATGCCATGCAAGCATTGGCGAAATGGAATTTGTGAGAAACAATATTGTGTAGTGTATTATTATATGTAAATTGAGTGCTACCTGTCCCTTATACGTGTCCCTCAGTAAAATCTTCAGTAAACTGCCGTAGCTACCTATGTACGCACACACATTTTCCCTCAGAGAGCCGGTTGTTAACCACTTAGCACACCACTGTGGAGAGAGGCTGCGTGTGGAGGGAACAGCAGGAGCAAAGCTTTGGCATCATGAAACAATCAGTGGGTTCTGTGTGGACCAGGACTAGCTTCATCTCATACATTCTAGCTCAGTAGCACTCTTCTGTGAAGCCTTTTCCAGTCCTTCAGGCTGGTCAGCTATCCTCCCTGTCCCCTGATTCCCTTGTTAATACCCCTTATCATAGCACCTGTCACCAGTGAGAGACATGGCGGAAGGGGTGGGGTGCGTAGCACAGGCCTGGGAGCTGGACGACTTGGTGTGAAAGCCTGCTCTGCCACGGACCAGCAGTATGATCTTATCCAGGATGTGCTAGGCAACCTTTTTATACCTCACTTCCTCTGTAAATGAGGACGATGATAGGATGGAGCTCATGGGGTTGTTGTAAAGAGCAGATGGGTTATCCATGTGCGGGGTGCCTGATGGTGCATCAACCTCATCATTTCATCTTCCCAGCCACACTGAGCTCCTTCACAGCACAGACCTTTCCATCCTTGCACTCTCAGCATGTAGTAGACATGTTGGTAGCCACTGTTGAATGAATGAGTTAAAAGAAGGAACTCAGGTCTCCTAACCTCCCCTCCACTCTTCTGTGAATTGCACCTATGGCCCCAGGACCTTTGCACTTGCTGTTCCTTCTGCCTGAATACTGCCTGCTGATCTTCCCTTGGTATTACACAGTTCATCCCTTCATTTACTGCTCAAATGGTACCTTATAAAGGAGCCCTTCGTTAACCACCCTCTATAATAAACAATGTTCTCCTATTCCCTGTCATCTACCCCTACCCTGCTTCCTTCGTCCTCACTGCCTTTGGCCCGGCAGCCTGCTTATCTGTTTTGGTCTTTGTTGGGTCCCTAGTGCCTAGTCTGGTAAATCCCTGTTGAATGTGTCAGTGAATATTGTTTCAAGCCACCCCCACCTCCCACTGATGCTAGTCTTGTCTCCTTTCTTCACCCTCCCTGCTCTGAAATCTTGCTATCCAAAATCTTCTGTTTTCCCCTGCTCTGTGCCCCTCTAGCTCTGCTCTTGCACTCAGATGTATCTGTCCTTCCTTCGGGAAGCCCACAGCCTCCTCACACTTAGCCAAACTCCAGTTCTGGTCGGAAGCCACCTGCTTGTTCTCTTAAGTTTTTTCTCCGCCTTGCTGACAACTTGTTGGCATTAGCATTTGCCACAGGTGCGGCGACCAGCAGTCAAAAAATCATAATTAAAAGCTGTTCTTGGACAGAAAGTGGAGTTTTAGTCCCAGCAGCTAGAACTCCGAGAACTTGGGGATTGTGGCCATTGGAGGGTCACCTGGCCACGAACCTCCCCACCTTCTGTGTCCACCACCCACTTTGGGGTCTGGGGAGATGCCAAGGGCTCACCCTGAGGGGAAGCATGGCTGACAAGTGGCTCAGACCCGCCCCCAGCTGCATCCCCACAAGTGGAGCTTAGAGCTGCTTCCTGTGTTGGGGTTTCTTGTGACATTTCATTTGAGATAAGCTTGCCACTACTTTGTGAGTTTGAAGACCACTGTTCTGATGCATTTTGCCAAATTCTAAAATATCTTTTCACATCTTTCCCTCTTGAAGATGAACTGACTGGAATCCTTAAGAAATTATCACTTGAGAAATATCAGCCCATTTTTGAGGAGCAAGAGGTAAGGATGTTATTTTTGAATGTCCATCTGAATCTTACTGTAAAAAAAAATAAATATATGGGTTTTCATCCTACGAGCATAGATTGATCTTTCTCACTGAGGCAGCTAAGGAAATGGAGTTTGTGTTCAGCACATTTAGTTCAGTTCATCACAGTGAAATCCTGGGGGCCTTATGGCTTGTTTTGTTGTGATAGAATTATGTGATTTTGCGCACTGCTCTCGCTAGTAAAGTTTGTGTTTGTCCTTTGCACACTTTTGTTGAAGGAGATTGGCAGGTTTTTAGATTTAAAACGGGTCAAAAACAAATCCTATTGACTCTGTGCTAAGTGTCTGGATATAGGATGTCTGTGTTAATCCGAGAGAGTTCCTTTTGCTTAAAAGCACTCACAGTCACTTTTTTTTTTTTTTTTAAATGACCGTTCTGCTGTTTGGCAGTTTCTCAAAATGTTAAACATAGAATTATCATGTGACCCAGCAGTCCCACTCCTGGGTGTGTGCCTAAGAGAACCGAAAACATATGTCCACACAAAAACTTGCACACGAATGTTCATAGCAGCATTATTCATAATAGCCAAAAAGTGGTAAACAGCCCAGATGTCCATCGATCGATGAATGACCAGATGCGTTATCGCTGTACTATGGAATATAATTCGGCCATAAAAAGGAAGAAAGTGCTGACGCACACTGTGACACGGAAGAGCCTGGGACACACATTATGCTGAGGGGAAGAAGCCAGACACAAAAGGCCACATATGGTGTGATTCCATTTATATGAAATGTCCAGAATAGGCAAATCTGTAGAGACAGAAAGTAATTAGTGGTTGCCAGGGAGTGGGGGGAGGAGAGAATGGGGACGGACTGCTTATATGGGTATGGGTTTCTTTTTGGAGTGATGCAAATGTTCTAAAGTAGAGTGTGATGGTTGCACAACTCTGAATATACTAAAAATCACTGAATCGTCTGCTTTCTTTAATTAAAAAGAATTTTTTATTTGCATGTAGTTGCACACAGTGTTACATTAATTTCAGATATACAGCTTGGTGATTTGCCAAGCTTATCCGTTAACTGTGTTCACCACAAGCGTAGCTGCCCTCCATCCCGACACATCGCTGTCACAGTACCACTGATGTATTCCTTATGAACTGTACATTTTAAATGGGTGGATTGTATTGTAAGTGAATTACATCTCAGTACGTTTTGGAAAAAACTTACCATTTGGGCCACATAGAGCTCCTCTGCAGGCCCACTAGCCACCAGGGTGCAATCACCGGTTTGGAATATTTCTGGCGCCCGGTCGAGTACATGACAACTCTCATCATTGCAGTAGCAGTCCTGAGAATCACTCACCGTCCCTGCAAGCTTGAGATGCTACTGAGGAGTTTGCATTTTTGTCTTAAGCAGCAGACAGAGTGCAGTGGCTTTCTTCCTCCCTTGCTTTCCTGCTGGAGCCAGCGGGTCCTTCCTGCCTCTTTGGTGTTTTAAACCTCAGCAGTGATGTTTCTCATTGCCAAGAAATCTTTCCCGTGCACTGCTGGCAGCCTGCTCTTGTGTGCTGTGTTCTGCGCCCTCTTGGAGTATGCAGGGAACACACCTCAAGGTGTACCTCTGTTTCTTGAGGTGTCTCTGTGTCACAAGGCAACGTTTGTCCTGAGTTCTTAGCTGCATCCCTGTTTTGGAGCTGATATGTCTGAGGGCACATCTGTCATTCACCATTCTCTGGTTCTTGCAGCTGTCCCTTACAGGGAACTGAGGGGTGTTCCAGATGAAATTTGACACTTTCAGAGTTTTAGAGGGCAGGGAGACCAGGCAGAGTTGCTGTGGTCTTCACTTACCCACCTGAAAGTCTCCATAGCCTCGGGGGTTGGGGAGGGTACTGAGGCCTGGGGCAGGACTGTGGGGAGGGCAGAGCCACTAGCTGGAGGATTTCTGTGTGTGTTGGGTAGGGTGAGGTTAGCTGAGGCGGTGCCCTTGTCAGGAGCCAGCTCAGCTATCCCTCCTGCGCTTAGCTTCTCTCTGGACAACATAAAAGCTAGGTAGCACTATGTGAGAGTTGTTATCTGTCCATATAGAGATCCCGTGTTCCCTTGAAGGCTTTCATGCAACTCAGGTTTTAACACCACTGATTGCCCCTGCCCTCACCTCTACACCCATCCCCACAGCTACGGAGCACTTGTTAGTCACTTAAGAAACTCCTTAAAGTAACTGGCATGCAGATAGTACTTTTCCCTCATTTCCAGGGCTCATAAAAATTTCTCCCTCTTATATGCTTTTAGTGCTTATTGAGAATTTGGAAGAAGAATGAAGTTAATACATTTTCTCATCCTGCCATACTGAAACTAAAGACAGACTAATAATTTTCATCTCTCTACCTGTATTAGGATGGATTTGGCTACATATATTGAAAAATCCCCAGATAATAGTATCTTAAACAAAATAGAAGGTTATTTTTCCCACAGAAAGTGTTCAGATGAGTCATCAAAGCTCCTTCTAGCTCTCTGCTCCACCATCACTAGGGTGTATGGCCCTCATCCTCAAAGTGCAGTATGGCTGCTAGGGCTCCAGCCATTACATCCACATTCCAGGCAGCAGGATGGAAGGAGATAGCAAAAAGACACGTGTTCTCCTTTTTTAAAGAGACTTCCTCAGAGTACCATAAACCTTATATCTCATTAGCCAAAAGTTTGTCAGTTGACATGCTCATATGCAAGGGAAACTCAGAAATATAGTGCTTTAGCTTCATGGAAATGTGCCTAGCTGACAACTAGGATTCTATTACTAAAAAAAAGTAGGGCATGAATATTGAAAGGACACAGATGTTTCTGCCTCATAGTGCTGACCCTACAGAAGTACTCACGTGAGGAGAATTTAGTCTCTGGTTCCCTCCACCTAAAATGAGCTGTGAGGATTTGGCAGCCCCCCAGGGTTGACAGAGGTCAGAGATTGAGAAGGTCAGTGAATGTGCGGATGCAGTAGCATATTGATTGGTGTGGTCATTCAGTCAGCCAGCAAACACAGCTCAGGTCTCTGCCTCCTATCAGGCCCTCTACCAGAGCCTGACCCTAGCAAAGGCAGAAACACCCAGAGCAATTCTGGGAGCCCAGGGAAGGGGGTCTATAGAATGAGGGCCAGAGGACACCTCAGCTGAGCATAAACTGAGCTTTGAGGGAGGGGAGCAGGGCTAGAAGGGCATCTGGGAAGAGGGAGCAGACATGCGCAGAGAGCCGTCAGCACTTCGGCCTGTTCGGGGCCTGACTGGAGCAGGGAGCCTGACCGGGCAGGGCCTGGCCAGCATGGACGTGATCTTGCGAACCACAGTCCGGAGGCAGATGAGGGCCAGCAAGATCTCTAGCCTGTGGTGTGGGTGGTGGACCAGTTAGGGACAGACTCACAGGAAAGGAGACTCCAGTTAGAAGGGGGTGACGGTGGGGGGCACCCTGGGCAAGAGGGCAGAGAGGTGCTGAGGAGCTGGCTGTGGGGACAGCCTGGGGGTCGGCCGTGGGCAGAGGGGAGTGTCTGGCGCAGCCAGGGGCAGGCAGTGTCTCAAAACCATGTCATCTGCTCTTTCAGGCCCTCAGCCCCTGTGAGCTGTAAAATCCCAGAGAGAGGCAGGGGGGCACCTCACAGAGCTTGGGGCTGGGGAGGGAGCAGACCCTTCCCCACCGACTCACGCCTGCTTCAAGGTGGTTTTAATCCAGGAAAATAAAATGACTATTAAAATAGAAAAGGAAAGATGGGGGACATTTTTCAGAAAAAAATTCCTCTATCTCCACATACATCAAATGTTTTGAAGAAAATTTTTAAAAATCTTCAGTATCTCTGGGGGAATAGAAAACAAAGCCTACTTTTAAAGTGAAAAACTAAGGATTTTCAGTAAGTTATGAAAGTTTAATTTTAAATGACAGCAATATTATATCACATAAAACTATAATATTTTTATAATTTAGCTTGCAAAGCTTTGTGTAAGCCCTCTGGGTAGACCCTACAACCACCTGTAAGTTAGGTGAGGGGAGAATTCGTACATTTCAGGTGGGAAACTGAGGTAAGCTTCCTGCCCAGGTGCCCCAGGCAGCAAGTGGGGATTGAGGCCCTGTCTGTCTCCCAGATGACTGCCATTTTGGGGTCTAATTTGCAAGGGCCCATACAGGGGATAGAACCCCTTAATTCTTAGGGAACATCAAGTCACATTAGCAAGGAGGCCGCCACCCCCAGGCCAGGGACTGCAGCATCAAGGGTGACGTGGCCCCGCAGAGAAGAGCAGGGACTCTGGAGCCCACTGCCTGGGTTCCAGTCTTGGTTTTTTCCCTGTGCCTCAGTTTCCCCGCCCCCAAATGGGGGATAGTAGTAATCTCACTTTTGTCGTAAGGTTTAAACAACTCAGTCTGTGTGGAATACTCAGAAGGTGCTTCGCACGTGGTGTTAGCTTCTGTGTCCTCCCCGTTGTCATCTGACAGCGAGGCTCCGGGACAGACCTGGGGTGTGTAGGGCTGGCCTCCACCCGCTGTGCTTGCTGCCTCCGAGCCACGTCTGACCTTCGCAGGACGGACGCCGCAACATAGCGGCCATGTAACAGGATGCCCCGTTGGTTCTTCGCCTGGCGCTGAGGCCCAAGCTGGGATGACAGGAATGTTAGGGTTTCAGCTCTAGCAGCCAAGGGTTGTGCGGCTTTGAGATGCCCTTGTTCTGAGCCCTTCTCCGCTTCGGTTCTCTGTGGCCCTTCTCCCCTTTATCGCTTTTGCTCGTTGACTTGCTCGCTCTGTCTTTCCAGAGTCTACATCTCCCTGGTCCTCTGGGGGGAGCCATGCTGAGTCCCGCCATATATGCCCATTTTCCGTGCGGTTTCTGATCTTGTTGGAATGCAGCAGCACTGGGATCAACCTTCTAAGAGCAGCCTTGGATTTGCAGCAGGCCGGCCACCCAGATTACGGTCTCAGAGACTCCCCTTCCTTGTTCAGTGGTCGGGGTCCTTCTACAGTGCACCTGTCCTGGGATTCCCAGGCCTAGAGCTGGGGAGAGTTAGTCCTTAATAATACTTTCAATTAAACTTTCATCATAAAGTCAGGAATTGGAAGTAGTAAATCATAATTACTTCACTGCTAATAAGCACTAATAGCTCATAATCAGGCTATTTCTGGTGTGGATGGGGAAAAAAAAAGGTGTGGCACCAAAAGCAGATGGTAATGAATCCCCCTTCTCTCTTTCCAGGTGGACATGGAAGCATTCCTCACGCTCACCGACGGCGACTTGAAGGAGCTGGGTATTAAGACAGATGGATCCAGGCAGCAGATTTTGGCAGCGATTTCTGAACTGAATGCAGGCAAGGTATTGTTCTCAATCTTTTTTTCCTGTTTCAAACAGCAGAGAGCTTCACTAGGATCCTGAGCCCTCCGTGTTCCTGAGGACATCTGTGGTCTGATTCCATCTCCTCTGGCACATCTGGCAGAGGACAGCCCCGTGTGCACACTTCTCACCACCGAGCGCTCCCTACCTCCCTGTCCCTTTTCCAGATTTCTCTTCTCATAGACTCAGCAAAAATGCTCCCTGTGGTAATTTCAACCCATGGGGCTGGGTATTGCCCTCCAGCTTACAGTGGAAGCAGAGCCCTCATAAGAGGGACTCTGGAGTCAGGCCCACCTGGGGGTGAGCCCACTCTGCCCCTTACTCACTGTGTCCCCTAGAAGTCATCACCTCCCTGAGCCATGCTTTCCTCATCCGCTGGGGGCGGTGGGTCGTTGCCAGGACCAAAAAGCTTAGCAGCGCCCCTGGCACACACAGACCCGTCAGTCACTGTTGTTATTGTTGGCATCCTACATTTTTGTCCAATGTTAAATTTCTGTTTCATCAGCTTTAAACTAAAGATTAACAAGGCACCCCCATCAAAGGCACACATGCGAAAAACAATAAAAAAAAATGCATGAGAAGCAAATCACCACTCACTTTGCAAACCTTAGTAGCACAGTAGCTGTTGGGCTATTCAGGCTCCTTTGCCTCATGGATTTTTCCCTAACGTGGGATGGACGTTTCTGTCTCACTCCAACAGTGTACGGGACTTGCTTACCTGTTGCTGTTTCACGCTCTGCCTGACAGCCCCCCTCCTGTTAGACAGTCATGCCATGTCTGGGGTTTTGCCATTACAAATAGCACCATAATGGATATCTCTGCTTTGTTCCTTTTTCTTCTGTTGTTTTGTTCCTCGGGCTGTGTTCCATGATGCGAGGTTATGTCAGAGAGCGTGACCGGTCTTACGGTTCTTTCTGTGTATTGCCGGGTACGCACAGAAATATTGAACAGACTTAGAGTGCCAACAGCAAATAAATATTCATGTAGCACTTTATCATTCACAAGACACTTCCCATACATTTCCCCAGTTAATCCGAGGAGGCCGGATCCTCACACTTCCCTTGTCCAGCTGCCCAGGTGGAGAGCTGGGCAGGCAAGTGAGGCAGGACCTCACCCAGGTCTTCATCGTATGTTCCCACAGCACCGTGCTGTGTGCAGGTGGCTCCTGCCAGCCCCACTGGGGTTGGGTCTCTTGCTGTCATCATTATTATTATTTTACCTGTTTGTAGGGTGCAAGGTGGTCCTTCTGCGTGATTTAGTTGGCACTGCTTCCGGTGCCTGTGTTTTATCTTGAGTTTTTACTGTCTGTTCTTTTTCTTCTGTAAGTGCCCCATTGCTAAACACTGCTCACCTGTTCCCTCACCTGTTCCATGGGCCTGGGCTACCTCACTTTACAGACGGGGAAGCTGAGGCTCAGAGTTGGATAGTGAGCCCTGACTCCCAGACCAGCACTGTTTCGGTTCTGCTTTGAGATATGAGGGGCAGGGGAGGTTGCTGGAAGTTGCTGCAAGTGGGCCAGTCCTGGCTGGTAGTAAGGGCTTACCCAGGGAAGTGAAGCCCCTGGGGCATCGATCAACCAGAGCAAGCACTGAAGTCTTTAGAGCATTGATTTGGTCATGAAAAATAGCCCTTGGATTCTCTGCCGTGTCCCAAGCACTATGTGGGCGCTGAGCTCTGAGGCTACTTTGTACCCAGCACTGTTCTCAGCATGTCACATCTAATCATTCCTTTAACTTCACAAAAGGCACTGAGGCCAGGTCCTCCAGTCTGTAGGTGGAGGAACTGAGGCACAGGGAGGGTAAGGAGCTTGACTGAGGTCATGCTGTTGGTAAGTGGCAAAGCCAGAGTTGGAGTGCTGACCACTATGCTGCCCTGCCTCGGCGTGAGCCACAAGTGCGTGTAAAGCAGAGCTCCTGACCTCAAGTGGGGGCTGGAAAGGCAAGGTCCTGGAAGACATCCCCAAGGAAGTGGCAGGAGAGCTGGGATCTGAAGAAAGATGGGAACCTTCGGATAGAGGGGTAGAAGAGTGCAGACTAGGCAGAGGGAAGCACATGTGCAAAGGCCCTGTGGTAAGAGGAGGTACAGTGCATTTCAAGAACTCAGGAAGTGCTAGACCTGGGAGCAAGAGGTGTGGTGTGAGGGGAGGCCAGAGGGGACAGATGAGCCCCCAGGTGGTTGAGGGGACCCAGTCAAGTAAGGGCAAGGGCTCTTGGGAGAGGGGAGGTGAGCGATGGTAGGGGGATTTGACTCAAGGTTTGCAGGACCCTTCCTGCTCCTGGCCTCCAGAGGCCAGATGTGTGAGCCAAGGAGAGGATAGAGGTGGGGGAAGCCAAGCCAGCTGAAGAAGGACAGGAAAGATTCTAGATGTACGGCCAGGGAGGACCATGGAGGTTGTGGGAGGACAGGCCAGGAGCTGGGTGCCACTAAAAGCCTGGCCCAGGGCTTGGTAGATGGTAGCTGCTAATGCTTCCTGACCCTCCCCTCTGCCCTCAGTGACCATGGCCCTTGTGGCCCAGGATCACAAAAAGAAGGCAGACTGGACTGGCTTGCTAATCTTAGGAAGCTTAACTGTCATGATCAGAGTGGATGATGTGACATCTCAAGCCCACTCCAAAGGAAAACATTTTTCTTAATGTTTGCACAAACCGGGACCTTTTTTCATTTTCTCTCAAATTCATTGCCCCCGTACTCTATTCCTGTAAGAGTCTGCATGCTGTGCCAAACAGGGCCCAGTCTAGAGAAGCAGAAGCGTTGACAGCTGTTGGTGGTTCTTAGTTCAGGCTGCATCACGAAGGACCATCTACCGGGTGGCTCATGGACAAGAGGAATTTTTTCTCACAGCATGGAAGCTGCGAGTCCCAGATCAGGCTTCCGGCATGGTTGAGATCTGTGAGGGTCCTCCTCCAAGGTGCAGACTGCCACCTTCTCATCGTGTCCTCACTCGGCGGAGAGCAGAGAAGCCAGGTCTTTCCTGTCTTCTTATAGGGGCACTGCTGCCATCATGGGAGTCCCACCCTCGTCACCTCACCCAAGCCCCGTCACTTCCCAAAGGCCCCACCATCTCACACCATCCCACTGGGGGTGGGGTTTCAACATATGAATTTGGATGGTGGAGACACAGTCCTTCGGTAACAGTGGTCTTCCTTGGGGGCACCAGCTGACCAGCTCCCAACCAGGAGACCTGGGTGCTTCCAACCTGCCAGACCGAAGGGACTGCTCTGTCCCACCCATGTCCCTCCCACAGGCAGCATCCACCCTCAAAGTCGGGCAGTTCCACATGGAAATAGGGGCAGAGGGAAGGTCCAGTGGAAGTGAGGACCATGCATCACAGCGTGTCCTAGAGCAAAAGCATGATTGGGAGAAGCTAAATATTACAAAAACAGGTTAATAATCTGCTGCACTACTCTGGAGTTGCCATTGAAGCTAGGTGCTGCTGCTTAGAGCGAAGAAGTTCTCAGGCCGAACGTGGCTGCCAGGAGCCCTTTGGATGGCCTTTGGATGCCCTGGGCCTCAGCTCTTCTGGGCTGGACCCCTCTCACCCTGACTTCAGGGTGTTCTGCCTCCTCCTTGATTGCTACAGGGCACTCACTCCCCCGTGAGCATTCATACTTTTTCTTTTGCAACCCAGCCTCAGCCAAGAGAGTGTACCCACTGGTGGCTCAAATGCTCTGGATACATTCAAGAACCCAGACCAGGACCCATGAGAGAGGGGAGGCCCAGCTTCCCTTGTCCACCAGTGTCTTCATGGCTGTGGTCCACAGCATGCTGGGGGTTGTGGACCCAATTTAGTGGTTCACTAAAGCAGCATTTTAAAAAACAGAATAGTTGGGGCACCTGGGTGGCTCAGTCGGTTAAGCATCTGCCTTCGGCTCAGGTCATGATCCCAGGATCCTGGGATCGAGCCCCACATCAGGCTCCCTGCTCTGTGGGGGGCCTACTTCTCCTTCTCCCCCACTTGTGCTCTCTAGCTCTCTCTCTCTCTCAAAAAAATAAATAAAAATCTTTAAAAAAGAAAAAAACAGAATAGCATAGAAAATGTCAACATTCTTTGCAGGTAGGAGGGTAAATTTGTTTCGGCTGTATAAATTTACACGTAATAAGGTTGTGATCTAAAGTGTATTTCTTGCACAATCAAAAATAGTTTGAACATTTTAGCTTAAAAGGTTTTATGTTTGTTTTGTTTTATTGATGAATAATAATCAGAAACCTGGCTCTGCCATACAAATACCAGCAAAGCAGTATAGACCCTCAGCCTTACAAGCCAGGGGCCTCTGTCTGAGCCTCCCCCTTCCAGGATTCAAGCTGTGATGTGTACTCGAGTTCGCTTATTAGTTGATTAGTTTCAAACAGTTTATATGTTGGAGAAGGTCAACCAGAAATTTCACCTTCAGTTGGTTCCTAAGCCATTGCTTCTGTAATATTGCCATTTTTGTGTGTGATTATCAAAGCAGCACACATTCATTTTACTAAAATTGCACAGCCGGAAAGGTGAAAAGAGTTTTTAAGGGAATCACGATCCAACCACCCAGAGGCCAGTGCTGTTCACATTTGGGAAGATCACTGCAGTGTTTTGTTCCAAATGTTTTTCTCTGCTGAGATAAATTTGGATCTATAATTTTACATCCTACTTTCTTCATTTAACATTAAATATATGCAGTTACCCATGTCATTAAAAACTCTTTTTAATATAATACATTTGCATGGATGTACTAAAATTACCTTATTTTAAATCCCTACTTGTTGGGTATGTGGATATCCAAACTTTCTATTAATAGCACTGCAGTGGGCAACTTTGTGTATAAGGCTTTCTAATTATCTCCTCAGAATAGATGTCTAAAAGTGGAATTGTGGAGTCAAAAGAGTCTAAATCAAGGTATATGGCACTTCTTCCTGAATTACTTTCCAGAAAATGCCAGTGAACATCCCCACCAGCTGTGGGCGTGTGGCTCCAGTATCCGCAAATCCCCTCCAGGACTGAGTACTCTCAGTTTGCTTTTAGATTTTTATGAATTTGGGAGGCCAAAAAGTGTGCCTCATTTTAATTTGTATTTCTTTAACTACTGGATAGACTGAACACTTTTTTCTATGTTTCACGGCCGTTCGCTTTTTCCCTTTTAAGAATCCTCAGGCAGGTCCTTTGAAACTCAGGGGTTCCTAAGGGGCATTTATTGTCGTCCTCTTCAGTCGGCTGTGGACACGGGGAACAATTACGGTTTTCATCGTCTGCGGCTCTTTCCTAAGTAGGAGGCAGAGTGCTGGAACCCTGGCTTGCCCTGACCTTGTCTCTGAGGCAGTTCAGGCTAAGGTAGCATTTAATAGCGACATGGCCATCATCCCTCCTGGTTAGTTTTTTAGCCCTCTGCAGTTTGCACAGTGTCACCCCATTCATTATATCGGGTCGAGCCTCCTCACAGTCCCAGCATGTCCTCCTATCCACGCAGCAGCAAATAGGGTCCTGCCCGGGACGCCACCGCCAGGGAGCGGTAGAGTTAGGGACTCACCGTCTTCTGACCCCACATCCCTGCCTTGCCCTCTGCCCTGCAGCCTTTAGGTTTGTGTTGCTGGACTCCGGGGGGGAGGAGGGGAGGGGGAGGGCATTTTTCTAGCTTATTTAACTTACTTGGAAGGCTTGGCATACCGGGCAGTCCTACCGTCCGCTCAGGTGTCTAGGGGGCCTTGATGGCAGTAGAGGTCCCTGCTCAGGGCTCATGGAGGGGCCCCCTGGGGTCTGGAGAGTCCACAAAATGAAAGAAGAGGAAATTTGAAGTCTGAGCTCACTCAAGTGGACTTTTTTTCTCTTTTTACTCTTAGCAGAGAACAGTCTGCCAGAGATTATTCATTTTTAATCTGCTTTACATGTTGACCACGTTTGTTGGTTTTAAAAAATCTGTGTTTAGCCCACACTGCTGTCCTCTGAGGACAGGACCTGTCAGCCTCCTGCTGCCCACACAGGGTCTGTTGTCACCAGCAACCATTTGAGTACTATTATTATCCCCATTTTATAAATAAGGGAACTAAGGCCCAGAGAGATTAAGTGTCTTGCTCGGGGCCACCCAGCTAGTAAATGGTAAGAATGGGATTCGAACTCAGGCTGTTTGCTTCCAGTCTCTGCTCTTAAGCTCTGTGTATCACTGCCTCTCAGCCAGGTATTCAGTGAAGATGTTCTCTGGGCGGAAAGAAACATCCACATCCTCCGTCTTTTCCCATCTCAAACCATGTGTGTTAAGGGGTAGGGATGTGGGGGGAGTGCTGCAGGGGTAGAGTGAGACGTGCGTGAATCACTGCCAAGAGCAATCTGACATCTTTTGGGCAAGGGGGAGTTAGACAGTTCAAACTCTCCCTGTGTAGCAGAAAGAATTCAGCTCCCACTCAATTCCCTGGAAATCTGAGAGCTAGAAAGGCACACACAGTGAATGGGGAGAAAACCTCCCTCGCAGGCCATGTGACCTGGGCCAAGTCAGTCCTGCTGCCTGGGCTCTGTGTCCTGTCCTTGTCTGGGGGATTGGATCCCTGCATCGCCCTTTTCACCCTTGACATGCTGTGATTATGGGTGCTAGGGGACATTCTGAGTCAGCATGTTTTTATTAAACTCAGTACTCTTTTAATTAGATAATTTATTTTCTCCAAGACACCCATGGGTTTCTCAAGTTTGAGTTGAACATTATCAACACTATGTCAATTGAAGTAATAGTCAAAAGATTTAATGAGACTTTGTGTCTGTTTTCAATTTCCTCCACAGGGACGCGAGAGACAAATTTTACAGGAAACCATTCACAACTTCCACTCTTCCTTTGAGAGCAGCGCCAGCAACACCAGGGCCCCTGGAAACAATCCCTGTACATGATCCTCCCTCCTGTGGTCACCAGCGTGAGCTTTCTGAATCCCAGTGCTGCCCTCTCATAGCCACTGCTCCAGCCAGCATCAGCTCTTCCCCATTCCCTCAGACACGCCTCGCTTGGTCACACTGCTGTGCCTTTGTCACGTTCCCTCTGCCCCGAACGCCCGTCTCCCCTTCTCTTCCCTGCTGTCCTAGCTGGTGATGCTGTTGCCGTAAGGAACTCAAACACAGTAGACTTCTCCTCACATGAAGTCCCGTATGGCTGCTTCTGCTTGGTAGGTGGCTTCCCACTGTGATTTGGGGACCCAGTTCCTTTCACCTTGTGGCCCTGTCATCCCCAGGGTCCTCAGCATCTTTGCCTCTGGTTGGCAGAAAGGGGAAAGGGGCGGTGGAGAAGGCACAGCCATTCTTAACCACCTTTCTCTTGACTGCTCCTGCTCTAGCCACTCCTGCTCACGTTCCATTGGCCACCAGTAGTCACATGGCCCCACCTGGCTGCAAAGGAGGCTGGGAAATGTAGTCTCTGTTCAGGCGGTGGCTGCCCAGCAGCAAGTCTACACTTAGCCAGGGCAGCACATGTTTTAGAGGAAGCTTAGCCTTCCCTGACACATCCTCCTGTAAAACTTCTAACTTGTTCTTTGTGATCCAAGTCACCGATCCAGTGAAGCCTTTCCTGACTCCCTTACACAGAACTAACTATTCAGCCCCGAGGGTCCCTTACTGCTTGTTTATAACTCTGTTCTAACACTTGGCTGCACCGACAGCATACAACATACAACAGGTGTTCAGGATGTGTATGTTGAACGTGTTTTTCGTTATTGCAACGGCAGCCTTTTCTGTAGGAAAAAAAAGAGTAGGCCTGCTGTGTGATCTTGGATCCCTTCTCCTTTCTGGCCGTCAGTGTCCTCACCTGTAAGATTGGGGGTCAGGCAGGATGATGCTCTGATAGTCTACGCTGCTCACCCCATGTCACTGTAGGCCTTCCTGCACTTCAAGGGAGAGCCAAAGACCCTAATATATTACATTGTGGAAGGACTTTGGTGCTTAGATTTTCTAGACAAAGAAGACAAGTGTTTGGAATTTCTTGTACACCCTGTTAATGCTATGTTCCTCAGACGGGAATCGGTTCTTAACGTTTTCTGCCATGTCCTATTATATTAGCAGAGCTCTGACTTCTAAAATCCAGTAGCTTTTGGAAGTGTTTTCAAGTAAGTAATTTGTTTGACCAACGCTTGCTGCATTTCTGTAATGTGCCGGGGATGCAGAGACAAGCTAGAGCCAGTCCCACCCTTGGGGACCTTGATAGGCAGGAGAAGACATGAATGGTCAGTCCCAACCTCGAGAAGCAGCATGGCAGAGTGGTTTGTGCTCTGGACTCTGGCTCAAAGTTCACCTCCAGCCCCGGGGCTGGCCAGCTGCGTGGCCTGGGACAGGTCACTTGGCCTCCTGCTCAGAGCCGAGAGCCACTGTGCAGAAAGCTTTTAGTCTGCACAAAGTGCCCAGTAGACAGCAGGCTTCACAGAGTTCTCGTCTTTGCCACGAGCTCCACCAGGCTGCGTGCTGATCTCCCTGGGAGGCGTGGCCTCTCGTGTCCTTCCCCAGCCACGAAAGCCTGCTCCCCCTCCCCTGGCTTCTTGCCTGTTGTGCCAGCCCCTCCATCCTCTCATCCTCCCACCAGCAGCAGCCGACTTGCAGCATGACTGGAGAGAGGTTTCACTTTAGCCATCACCGACAGGCATCTTTATGAATATCCCTCAAAGTCAGGCCTTTAAGGACACGTGGTCATTGAGCACCTACTGCGTGCAGCAGCTTGACCTGTGTCATCCATCCTCCCCGTCACCCTGGAGAACCCTGCACATCTGGGAGACAGACATGGAGTGAAGCTGCATGCCAGTTACCCAGGCTGGGGTGGGGGGTGGTGGTGGTGGGCAGAGCTGGCCTAGAACTGGATCAGGCAGGCTTCCAGGCCCATGCCTTTTCCACTGATCCAGGTAGGCTCCTGGAGCTGGAAGCGCCGGGTATTCTCACTGTTGTAATGGACTGGTGTCTTCAGGGGTTAGTTCTCAATAGGTTGAGGGTTGTTTACCCCTGAAATACATTGGCCCCTGAGTTACATGCTTTGAGGTTTTGTGTGTGCTTCTTGCTGCTGTCCTGTTTTTTTTCATAAGCCCTCTATTTGTGCAGCGTCCTGTCAGGTACGTTTGATTGAACATCCGCCACATACCAGAGCTGTGCTGGAGGGGGCACCTTTCTGCAGTGCAAGCTCCCATGATCTCATCTGATGACCCCACACAGAGCAGGGCTGATTCCCATTTTGCAGATGGGAAAGCTGAAGCTCAGGAGAGATGCCTCTCTTATCTTTTCCACTGGACTCAAGTGGTTCTAAGGCTTTTTCTCCCAGGCAGTTTGTGTGCTGCTGGATGAGAGATTCCTGGCACCCTTTCTGGGCCATGATCTCCCCCTTCCTGGTGACACCCCCGCCCTGCACATGTATCCCCCGCCTGCCTGTAAGGGGCTGTTCTCCGCCACAGTGTTTCCCTTGCTCAGTGTCCTGAACCAGCATTCCCCAAAGTGTGTGCCTTGGAACACTACTTCCATGGGATGTTAATGGGTTTTTCATAAGGAAAAATCAAGGGAGTGTATATGTGAAAGTGGGGTGAGGCTTTGTGATCAAATAGGTTTGGCAGGCACTGGGTTAAAGCCCAGTTAATATGGTTGTCTTGCTGCAGGACATCTCAGGACCTTCAGCGTGCCTGCGCGTGTTGGGCCTCCTGGAGGGGGCCATGTAGCAGGCCCCTTATGTTTGCCCCCAGAGTGCTTCTTCACGGTGCTCTTGCAAGACAGGTTCCTGGGATACTGTCAGGGAAACCTGCGTTGACTGGGACAGTGGCAGCCACGAGGACTCACAGCCACTGGGAGTAGGGTGAGGGGGCACTCAGGGGCTTCAGCTGGCTCAGGGGTCCTTGGTCCTCCTCTGTCCCTAGCATCTCTTGGCAGAGGTGCCCTGCTTGGCAGTAGGATATCAGAGTAGGGGAGTCCCCTGACTTTTGGGTGATTGGGACCCGGCTCAGAGGACTCTCCATCTTCTGCAGGGGGTCTCCAACAGGGGAGAGGGCACTGTTTCCCAGCCTTAGTGCCGGATTCCACACCCCCCCCCACCCCACAGGTGCTTCGTGTTCGTGCCACGCCCCCCACGGGCCAGGGGTGCTCCCACCTTCCTTCGGTGCCACATGGTCACATGGAAGCCAGCTAGTTTTGCAAGGAGAATGCTTACTCTTTCATCCTTGCATTCACCAGACAGACATGCACTGAGCATCCAGCCTGTGCATGCCCCTGCTTGTGTTTTGGATCCAGAGATGAAAATATACCCATCTCTGCCCTCAAGGAGCCCACAGTGTCTTAAAGAGACAAGCATGTAAATAAAGCATTGCAGTGCCGTGTGAGGAGGCTTGTAATGAAGGTGTGTGCTGGGTCCCTGGCTCCGAGCACGTCATCTGTGATGGCTAAGGTTTGGCCCTGTAGGAGAGGGCTGGCAGATAAGCCAAAGGGCCCCCAGAAGGGGACAGCCTGTGTGAAGTTAGTCCACATATAACATTTGTGGACTACATATGGCTGGGGTTAAGTTAGATACCTGTTTTTCTGATTTGGGTTGGGTTTTTGTTGTTTTTTTGATTTGGGTTCTTTTCTTTAAAATGCATAGAAGCAGTCTGTCTCCCTGGAAAGAGCACTAAATCTAGAGTCAACCCTAGCACTGGGTTTTGGCTCAGCCACTTACTGGGTAACAGCAGGCTTATTTCTTCTTGAATCTCAGTTTTCCCTTTTGGTTAGAAGGGGCCAGTGCTCCCCAAGGTGCTGAAGATCAGATGCAAGTGAGAAAGCCCTTTCCACACCATGTGGAGCCGTGCAGACTTGAGACATCTCCACTATGGTTGCGTATTTGAAATCAATCTCAATGTTCTTTCCTATCTCCCCATCCTCCCCCCCACCCCCACCTCCCACTTGCCCAGACATAGCCATAGCTGGGGTGGGGAGCAGGGAGTAAGGCCAGAAGAAGGGGCCTCCTGCCAGAGGGAGCAGCAGCTTCGATGGCTCTGCTGGCATCAGAGCCCAAGGATGCAAGGATTGACAGAGGATCCCCACGCTCCAGCAGTCCTGACTCTGGGTGTTTGTGTCTTTGGGATTCCCAGCAAGGTGGACAGAAAGAAGCAGGAAGGCTTTCCAGCCAATTGCAGGAGCTGATCCAGCAAACAAAGAGGAGCAGGAAACCCTTCCAGTTTTCTCCTACTTGGAGCTGCCCAAGGACATAGCCATGCAGGCCAGGATCGGTCTAGGCAGCTGTGGGCACCTACACTGACCCGTCCACCAAGAACACCTCCCAAAGCTCGGGACCCTTCTTGGGAAGATTTTGCAGCACAGCCTGAAGGGGTTGTGAAGCATCATCCGTGCCCATCTGCCCTTGTCTATGTCAAGCAAGATAATCATGTCTTTTTAACTAATAGATCCTGTTCAACATGTAAGGACACCTGATGTTTTTCCCTGATAAAGTCAGTACCAAATTCTGTAGGACAGGCTGGAGAATGAATCTCCTCCCCAGGAGGTGGGAGGTGAATCACCTCCTCTGTGTGGGTTCCCCTTAAATATTTCTGGAGGGCTTGCCAGATTCCCCGCTGGCCTCAGGGGGGCCCTGTTCCTCTGTAACATGCTGTCTAAGAGGGGATTAGACCCTGCCTGAAATTTCAGCCCCTCGTCTAAGAAGCCAGTCTCTATAGACAGTGATTCACCAAAGCTTAGGGTGACAGAAGAGGAATCAAACAGAATCACTGGTAGTGGGATAGAGCAGAAAGCCCAGTTCATCTGTCTCCAGTTCCTTCTAAGGCAGAGACCATCCAGGACTCCCTCCTCAGGGCCCTGCCCAGTGGCGTGAGCCAACCCCACCAGGTTCCCAGTTCCTGTCGGAGCCAGCTCCCTAGGGCTAAGGGACAAAGGGCATGGCTGTCTCTTCAGGGAGACCCTGTCTCCACCCTCCAGGTGGCTGGGGTGGAGTTTAGCCTTACCTTAAGTCCTCAGCAACGCCACTGTAGGCTTTGATAAGAGACCAGGCTGCCATTTTGTTTCAGCCCTCCAGAGTGGGTTCCCATGTTCTTCACCCATCAAACATTACTTTTATTATTATTTTAGTGTTATTTCCATGCAGGGACTTGATTCTTTAAAGGACTTTTGTTTGCCAAATGTATATCAAATACCAGTGAATTTGTCTTCCCACTTTGATTTTGCTCATCGAAGGCATAAATGCTGCTCAGATTTCTTCCAGTGATAACCATTACAGAGCAGGTGCCCATGGCGTGCTGGCGTGCCTGGAAGCTGCCTTGCCCCCTTCACATGTGCCCCCTCAAGCAGCTTTCTAATTCCCTTCCTACCAGTTCAGTGACTGTGGCACACAGATTTTGTTTTTTTCATCCTAAGTGTCCTCTTTAACCCCCATCACCTATTTCATCCAATCCCCCCACCCCCCGCCCCTCCCGTAACCACCAGTTCTCTATAGTTAGAGTCTGTTTCCTGGTCTCTTTCTCTTTTTCTTTGCTCCTTTGTTTTGTGGCACACGGATATTAACCTCACCAAGGTCTCCCAGTTAACAAGGGACAGTGGGTTTGAATGCAGGTCTCACCTCTCACTCTTAGGAGGAGCCACATTTTCTCCAGGACGTCTTGCTGCCTTCCGACACAGAAACATTAAATTGGTATAAGCCCAGCCAACAACAAAAATAAAACCTGTTAGTCTGTATGGCTTGTTCACAATTTTTTTTTTTTTTTTGGCAAGCTAGTTGGGGGGATGTGTGTGCTCATGAAACACTATAAATAGCTGGGAGATTCTCTTTGTTCTAAGAATTCTTACAAGTCAGGGGACTGCCTCATCTCCACCTGTTCTGCTATCAGTGCCTCATGGGGGCGCGCTTGGAGCTACAGATCATACATACAGGAAGCGGAAGGTGGCGTGGGTTCCAGTCCTGAAGCAGCTGGAAGGAGGCCAAGGTCTGTGGGGCCCCAGAGGGTGGAGCAAAGATGCAGGGGAGACCATGGGAGTAGAGCCAGCTTTCCATGAGGAAGAACATTCCAGGAAGCAGAGCTACCTGGGAGGGGGAGCATTCCCCAGAAGGGCCCCCAGAGGCTGGGCGAGCCCATAGCAGGGCAGCTGCAGAGGGGGATTCACACTTTGAGGATCTTACCCAGCAGTTGGTTCCCCAATGACCCAAAGGTGCAGATGACGTGAGAAAAATAAGAAGGCACTGAGTTTACCTGGCAATATATGCATTTTGTAGGATCGGCCTTGATGCAAATCCCTCCTACTCAGCGAGATGGGGTGGTGGGGATGGTAGTTTTAGTTTTACTGATGTGTCAATCTAAAAGTCTGAGAAAAACTGTGTTAGGTCACTTTTGAGGTCCCTTCCTGCCCTGTGATTCTATGAAAATCTATGAAAAGAGGGCGGAGTGGCTCATCAATAAGTTAAATATAGAATTACCATGTAACACAGCAATTCCACTCCTAAGTATATACCCCAAAGAATTGAAAGTAGGTATTCAAAAAACAAAACAAAGCAAAACTTGTATGCAAATATTCAGAGCACCTTTCACAGTAGCCAAAAGGTGGAAACATCCAGACGGCCCTCAGCAGATAAAGGGATAAACAAAATGTGCTATAGCCACTCAATGGAATATTATTCGGCCATAAAAAGGAACGGAATGCTGCCAAGTGCCGCCGCATAGACTAGCCTTGAGAACACTATGCTGAGTGAGAGAAGCCGGGCAACAGACTCCATATTATGCGATTCCATTCATGTGAAACGTCCAGAATAGGCAAAGAGGTAGAGAGAGCCAGAGTTTGGGGGGCTGAGGAAATGGGGAGTGACTCCTTACTGGGGAGGGGGTTTCTTTTTGGGGTGATGAAAAAGTTCTAGAACTAAATAATGATATGGTTGTAAATCATGGATGTACTTAATGCCAAGAAATTGTACACTTTAAAATGGTTAAAGGAGTAAGTTTTAGGTGATACACATTTTATCATGAGTTTTCAAAAAAAAAGGAAGAAGAGGAGAGCTCATCAGCTGGCTGTCCCTCC